CCATGCATCCCATAGCAAGTTTCACAGATATGGCTGCAATTCGACAACGTGCGTTATTACGGCGTTGAAATATGATCTGTTCCTTTCATCTGATGCATTTTATCCTTTGTCGAAATGTCGCTTACAAATCGGACTCATATGAGCTTAATGGTATGCATGGAACGCCAATAGCAATTCCGTACAGGGCCGGGATAGTGCAGTCAGTATAGCGACTGACTACGGGCTTGACGACCGAGGGGTCGGAGTTTGAGTCCCGGTAGGATCAAGAAATTTCTCTTTTCCATGTCGTCCAGACCGGCTTTGGGGTCCACCCAACCTCCTATACAATGAGTACCGGGGGTAAAGCGGCCGGGGCATAAATCTGATGACTACCTCCAGCTAGTGCCGAGGTCAAAAAATGCAGATGCATACATTCACTCCCCCCATACGCCTTCATGGCGTGGTGCTTAATTAGTTAAACAGTATGGGGTTCATCGTGGCGTGGAGTTAACATCGCTTTGTATTCGTGAGGCTGCGAGTTCAAATCTCAGATGGGGGTTTATTTTTTTTATAATTTCCCTTCAGTTAACTGCTGGGACAGTACCTTAAAATAGGCCACCACAGTGTCCTGGCTAACCTCGAAGCGAATGTGCCAAATTAATTTAGGTACAACTTTTAAAACAACAACGAGAAAACTAATTTTACGATCTGTGCTTCTAAGGTACGAAGAAATGTCTTTGGGAAACTTGGTTAACCCCATAATTGCCCAATACCGAAAATTTCGACCTGTACGAGAAAACTGCTATATCTCAGAGTTTGTGACGTCTGCTGGCACTTCATCTGAACTACAGTAAGGAAAAAATTGGAGGATTTTTCCCCCTACATTTCGATTTCTTCGTGTGTTGTTACGCAAATGATTTAGTCGTGAAATTTTCACTCCTGACTTGCCAATGCACGAATGAAACTGAAAGAAAACAGAATGTTCTAATTGCGAGTACTTAAGACCTGTCGTCATGAGACAGTTACGAGGCACAGAGATGTACTAAGCCAGATAAAGGAGGGACAAGCTGGTACCAGAATGCTGAATTTGGTCTTACGGCATCGAATTGTAAGTATAAGTACAGATAGATTAATCCAGTCCTCTATTATCGAGCATGCGGCAACGTCTCTAGCAGTCGCGGGACACAAACACACAGACAGGAAGTCATTAATAACAGAAACAAGCTTCTGGAGATGTGTTACGGACAACACTTGAGGGCGAAGTCTGGAATAGGGTAATTCGAGATATGATGATGATCATGATGAAGTAGGAAAAACAGTAAATATCATGTGAACATCTTGTTAGTGGTTTCCTTTCAGTTTCATTAGTGCAATGGCAAGTCAGTGAAAATTTCACGACTAAATCATTTGCATAACAACACAAAGAAATTCAGATGTTGGGGAAAGAATTTTTTTTCCCTCTGGCGCTACAGCCCCAATTTGGACCTAGGCCTACCTCCGTGAAACTCTCCGTTTCACTTCGGTTTATTAGATCTTACACATACGGTAGGACTCCTTGGGCGAGTGATCAGCTCGTCGCAAGGCCTCTACCTGTAGACAAACACAGAAAAACGCACACAAACATCCATGCCCTGAGTGGGATTCGAACCCACGATCCCGGCTTCCGAGGTAGCGAAGACAGTGCATGCCTTAGACCGCTCGGCTACGGTGACCGGCTTGAGGAAAGAAGTACATTATCAAAAAAAAACTTTTAACAGAGCTTTTGCTGCCCACGTTATGGGAAGCCACTTTTAAAGAGTTCGTTAGTTGTTGTAGGCTTGGCGATGTCTCGCTTTGAGTGCTTGCACTTTCGTTATTGATATGGGAGTTGTGCGCCGTTACGTGGTCTGGTAATCACGTCGACGTATTTGTAATGTGGAAAGGACGATGTCCTGGGTTCGAGCCTTGAGAGTATGTCTCGGGGCTTAACAGGCCTTGCTTGACGAGAAAGGGTCACACACACAGTGAGGAAGTCCTCAGACCACCACGAAGCACTGATAGTTAATGTACCTGGTTTATTCAGCACATTACACGTTTACTTTACAACAGCAGTTCTATAACCGTTGCTAGGCTTTAACACATGTTGTATAGAAATTTGGATGACCACAGCACTAGGCAACGACGGACAGACTTCCAGCCTAATTGATGAGCGTTAATTCTCCATTACCTGTATGTCTCTCGTAGTCTCTAATTCTAACTTAACTTGTCTACTTGTCATCCGGAAATCAACCCCTTTAAATACTTAAGGATGACGCAATGTCCTGGAATCTTCCCCTTCGAGAATGTTCTCGAACTTTCTCGATGTATGACGTAACGCTATGGGACCTTCCAGACCCTCCTCGAAGCTTCTTTTAATTGTTTGCTGTCGAGAGAATTCTGGAAGCTTCCTTTAATTAGGCTGGCAGTGGGATGAGTAATCAACATACCACACCGACTATCAAAGAACTTTCCAGTATTATTTCTCCACTCTTTTCTGCGATACATCAGTTGAGATGACACAGTTTTATAATTGGATGAGGCACTATACTACAAGCCTCATCGATTCCCGATGAGGTCATTGGATTTTTGTTGGCATAATCCTTCCAGCCGCACTATGGCCCTGGGGTCGACTCAGCCTCTAACAGAAATGAGCACCAGGAATCTTCCTGGAGGTAAAGGGCGGCCGACCGGCGCGTAAGGCTGTCAGACTCAGCGCCATCTGTGAGCCGATTGTTTAGAAAATGTGGGAGCCTCGACGTCTCACAACCCTGTCGGCCTCCACAACCTGTTACAGGGACAGGTTTACCTTTTTTTTTATCTAGTTCGTAATATATAACCGACGTAAATGTTTCTTAACCCTTGATGAACGACGAATGTCTGGCTCTTACATATATGGGTTCAGTAAAGCCATGCTCGTTCATATCGAAGCTAACACACAGCATAAAGCACTGGCGTCTTTTTCGCCGGGGGCAAAACGCCCGATGCGTTTCGCTGACCCATGACCTTCATCTAGTACCGGGGTCAAGAAGGTGTGCAGAAGACCGTAAATGCCAAAGAGACACCAAGACTTACTGACTGACCGTCAGTCGCAATGTGATTTTGACTTTGTACTGAGCCTGGACTGACAGAGGCCCTGTATATATTTAATACATTTATTAACATATAAAATGTAAATATCCTTTACATTATGACAAATGACTTACTACTGCAGACAATGACTCTGACAAAAGACAGACCCGTCCTCTCGTCAGAGAGGGCGCCCCACACTAACAAGACCTAAACTGTCAAACAGTAATAAATATCTGGTCGTAAGCCCCAGATTGGGCTCGACACCAAGACTGACTGACTGACTTACCGTCAATCGCAATGTGACTTTGACTTTGGTTCAGAGTCCCATGGAATCAGAACCAAGAATCGATGTACTGGCGAGGACCAGCAGCAATTTAGCAGTCAGTGTTGTCGGGACAGTTCAGAGTTGCAGTTGTGAGAAGTGAGACGCTGGTAACAGAGGCCGGGGACAGTTCGGGAACCCAGAGGAAGAGGAAAGTCTGCCGTTGGCAGTTACAGTGATCTCTGGAGTACGAAATACGGGGATCATTTAGTGAGACGCGTCTCAGAGCGACAGAGGGATGCTAAGATTACAAGAAGACATAAGAGATCACAGAATGTTTCGGAGGAACATACCGCCTGCATCTTCAGGGCTGAAGATTTAACTGGGCAAGAAACCAGTAGAAGCACGGGGTACGTCCGAAACGTCGAGCTCCCTCTCAACTACATGGCATTCTTTCTACTTCTTCAGGACAGGATGAACAATAGAGCGCCTACGCTGTCTTCTGTCACACTTCAGTTAACTCCCACAAAACTGTACAGTCTTTAAATGCTCGTCCTGAACAATTTCAGTAAGGTAACCATACAGGTAGACCATGGAGCCCGCTTCACGAGCTTACAATGAAACCAGAATATCCAACAATGTAAAAATACAAATTACGCGCCTCAAGATGAGGCTGTTCTTAAAAACTGTTTTTCATAAAAACGACGACTGAGAGACTACTGCTGGGAGATCCATCTACCGGCAGAATCAGCACTACCTGCAACAACACTGTGCTGCTTTCTGTCAGCAAAATGCATTATCATAATCTCCACTGCACCATACTGAATTAATTAATTAACGAATGAATGTGTAAGCAACTAACTTCAAGAAGCCAACAGTTGCTCAGCCACTCAAGATATCAGCATTTTATGAGGCACTGAGGCTCATTACAGTGTTCATAACAGCTCGCTAATGAACCTTATCCACAGCCAGTCTACGGAGGACACGCGGGAGGGTAGTTGGTTGAGGCACTACGCTACAAGCCAGAGGGTCGCGGATTTGATTCTCGATGTCACTGAATTTTTTAATTGACCTAATCCTTCCAGCCTTATTATGGCCCTAGGGTAGACTCAGCCTCTAACAGACCTGAGTACCAGGAATCTTCCTGGGGATAAAGGTCAGCCGGCGCGGGAGGCTGACCTCACCGCCATCTGTGAGCCGACTGACTAGAGAATGTGGGACCCTCGACGACTCACAACCGTATGGGCCTCCACGGCCTGGTACAGGGATAGCTTTACCTTACTTCTACGTATCTTTGACGATGAGTTAAATGGTCTTATGAAGTTGAACGCAAGTTCGTAAGCAAATTTGGTTAACTGCAGCCCCGCTTGGACAAAACTTCTGGCTGCGCCCATGTAATGAAAAATCTGACAATTAGTAGTCTTCACATATTATTTCAGGGGTGACCAAACAGAAGAGGGAACGACGTGTCATACCACAGGCATGCGAGACACGGGAAATACATAAAGTGTTGATCAGGAAACCCAAACATAAGAGGTCACTTGGGAGACGTTTATGATGCATCTTGAAGAAACGGTGTGAACTGGACAGGGGGCAGTGATGGGATCTGTCTGAGCCACTATTAGCTTCCTGGAGATGGTTACATTAACAATTAAAAAAAAAAGATACTTGCCTTCTGGGTATGGGTCCTCCCTCTGAATGATATCCATGAAGAAGTTGGTCACTTTGTACAGGTTGGCCATCCCGCGTGCATTGAACTGCGGTGAGGCCTGATACGAGAGCGTCAAGTTGGGATCACTGTAGCGCACAGGTTCTATCATCATCTCCTTGCGTATCGCATCTTCCACATGACGCACAACCCCCCTGAGACCAGAGTAATCTTCAGCCCTCACACACTGCACCACCAGCAGCACCATCACACACACCGAGGCACTGCGGCCGCCCATTGTTACACTTGCACCGAACTACACCGCGGCATCTCTGTCACTGACTGCACTTGCCACTAGTAGCAGCAGGGAGCAGGGAGTTCCAGTAACAAGTGGAGGGGAGAAGCTGCCGATCTGAGCGCTGCTCATCTCTTTAACACGGCAGGACACGAGCCATTGGAGCCCCGGCACATCTTCAGTCCTGCCCTCCGCAACCCGCCAAGCCTGAACGGCAGCTCCTTGCTGTAATGACAAACATTTCATAGAATCAGTCACATGTAATCACGTCATGAACACGTCGCCGAATCTAGGAAATCTTACGGAAATGCTGACTTGAGAGACGGGATGTGACGTTAATGGACCCCGAGCTGTTAACTACCGGATGTGCGGGTTCGAACACAGATGAGGGCGTGTAGAACACGTAGTGGGCAAAATGGCACTCGGGAGGTTCTTTCCAAGTCCTTCAGTTCCCCCTGCCAATTCTCAATCAACAATTAAAGTCAGTCGGCCATGCCCCATCTGGGGCCCAAAACCACATATTTGTTACTCTCAAAGCAGTTGCGGGTTTCTTGCCGTGGGGCGCACTCTCTGACGAGAAGACGGGTCTGTCGTTTACACCTGCTGCTGGCCCTCTGCAAGGCAATCATTCTCGGGCCCCAGTGCCGCGGGAGTCATCACCATATTTTACTGTCTCAGATTCGAGACTCCCCCAGCCTGGAGGTCCAGGTCCCGGCAATTATATCCCCCTAGGAACAGGGTGGCCCAGTTATAACCCCAGGCACTGGGTTCCCTTCCGTCGCCTCCCACGTCTCGCACGGCTAAGGTGGAGGTATTCGAAACCGCCTCCACACGGGCGTCAATCGAAGGAACCGTCCACATTCGTGTAGGACCCGGGGCTGATACAACAGGTACAGCAGTGACCGATGTAACAAGGGGATTCAGTCTCCCCACAGCAGTAATTATGAAAAGCTTGAAGAGCTTTCTACACAGTTGGTACTGGGTGCTCTCCCCGGGGCGTGAAGCTGACCGCTCAAGATAGCAATGGGTGCAGCTGATACATTCACTCCCACATACGTCTTCATAGGTAGCAAGCACAGGGACAACTTTAACAGCCTTCTAGAATGCGACGCCATGTAACGTCGTAGTTCACCGACGTTTCGGGGAACTTACTACCTCTATCCTGAAAGGTCCAAGACAACGATGCAACAAGCCCAACTGGCAAGTTTGCTTCTTGCACTGCTGTTTGACCCTGAAGATGGAGGCAATAAGTTCCTCTTAAAAGTACGCGAACTTAAACCGGATGATATGGAGTCACATTCAAGAACACAGGACTCGGAAACTGGAAATGGTGGAAATCCCATGAAAGTTAAGACTACTAGTGTCTTCTGTGATATATATACCAAAGTTTCGGAGGAACTTACTGCTTCCATCTTCACCGTGATGACGCAGGCAGCAAGTTCCTATAAAACCCTGATCTATCTACACGGCATGTCATCCGAGAAAATCGTAATCTTCATATTTACCAGGGGAAAAACTTCAAATCTCTTCACAGTAAAGGTTTCTTAGCTAACACTTTTCCTTCTCAACTACGCACTACAATTAAACCAAAGGGGACTCGCATGTCCAGAATACAACGAGACACACCCGATGTTCTAGTGTGATATTTCCAGGGCTGGATATGAGGGTAGACTTGGGTAGGCGCCGTCTACTCAGTTACAGCGCGCTTCATTTTGAAGGAGCTATTTTCCGTGCCTTAAGGAGTCGAACTATCGTACCCGACGTTACACGTGGGACAGAATTCATGGGCCTACAATGTAACGATTTAGTTTTAATTTTTACCCTGTTATGGAGAGCGGCCTCCGTAGTCTAGTGGTAACGTTCCCACCTCATGACTCAAGGTACGCGGGTTCAAACCCGGCAGAGGTCGTGGAATTTTTAAGGGCGGAAAAATTCAGAGAACAAGTCCTCCGGGAGGGACTTTAAGCCGTGGGGTCCCGTGTCGTAAAAGATCCTCATGTCTCTAGGAGACCTCTGAGCAAAATTAGGCAAGTTTCCGGCCCAAGTAGTTTCCAATGCCTCTGGTAGATGGGGGAAGCATCAAGGTACCGAGGGCCGACCTCGTTGGCTCAACGGGGCTGATAGCATGCACCAGTACCGGTAGGGTATGGAGACTGGTAGAATATCAAAGGGGGACGTACAATAGATCAACAACTGGTCGCGGTGCATGGGGAAACCAACCCCCTCCAATAATAATACACTGTTATGGAGAGTATACGCAACTCTAAAAAGCTATTTCCATGCCTCATTAATTTCACGATCTATGTATCATATCCGCATAGCTTTACATGTATTTACCTCATAAACAGGGGGCAATCCCGCCATACTGGAGGTAAGAAGACGCGCTGTATGTAAGACATGCGCCGGAGACAAACACTGATAGACGCAGCACCTCTACTGAGGGCAATGACGCGCGCAGAATTAGATTGACGTGACTTTTCTGGGTTCTTCTTTCTTGTGATGATACATAGTATGAAGGTCCTACTACGTGAAGGTCATATAACATGTCACTTGACAGGAATGTGTATGCATAAGAGGCGCATCTGATTTTTGAACGCCTCTGTAAGGACACGTACGATACTTGCAGCATAAATATGCGCTTCCCGGTGTTACGGACAGTCAACGTTTCTCGAAAGACCTCCTAAAGCGAAGTTGCGTAATGTCAATCCCTATTTCCCATATGCAGAACGTTATAAATGGTGACTGCGTTTCCAAACTACAAAAGAAATATGTAAGATTTGAGGCTTTCACGGCGGTGACCATGAAGAAGNGCAAAAAAAAAAAAAACGTCAAGCTATCCCTATAACAGGTCGTCAAAGCTTCCACATTTTCTAGACAATCGGCCCACAGATGGCGGTGAGCCTGTCAGCCCTACGCTGCCCTTTGTCCCTAGGAAGATTCCTGGTACTCATTTCTGTTAGAGGCTGAGTAGACCCCAGGGTCACAGTACGGCTGGAAGGATTAGGTCAACTGAGAAATCCAATGACCTCGTCGGGAATCGAACCCGCGGCCCTACGGCTTCTAGCATAATGTCTCGACCAACTACTCTGCCGCGTGCCACCTCCGCGAGCAAAAGACGCTGAGAAAAGCCTTAATGCAGCCTCAATCTGCGTTTCAGAATTGAGTAATCAGCTTCGCGTTCTTGTCGCTGTGATACCGGCACGTAAAACGGTCCGGGTGCGCTGCCGCCAGGAATCGAACCCCTGGCGTTCACTTTAACCGAGCAGGCTAGTCTAGTGCTACAGCTCTACACTTGTATTCTGGAGATGGTCCGTTCGTATCCCGGCAGGGACACTAGCTATCCTCGCTGAGGGTTTCCGTGTTTTTTCTCACTCCACCTAAGCAAATGACGGGAAAGTACCTGGACCGCTTCCTTGCAAATCATTTCCAATTCATTATTCATCAATCATCAATGTCATTAAAGGCTGTACAGTCTAGACACTGCAAACGACGTATGAAACAACCCAATCCAACAGCATTAAATAAATACAGACGTACACTAAACCCTCGATAATCCGGATCGAAATATGACAGATGCTGTTCACAGGTGTGCACATACTTTAAAAGACACATCGAATGTAGGAAGGCAGATGAGTCACTTGTCTGTTCAGGCAAAACTTGACAGTTTCTACAAACTTGCATTATAACGTTCGGAAAACTACTGAGTCTTCTGAAGAAAGCAGTCTTCTGGGATTTGGCACCGTGTATAAGTGGTGTTTACACCACTTATACACGGTGCCAAATCCCAGAAGACTGCTTTCTTCATAGTCACCGCCGTGAAAGCCTCAAATCTTACATCTTACATACTGAGTCTTCTATCGATGAATAAATGTATTGCCTGTTTATAGTTTTTAAATAAAGATTCTATATCGATATTTTTATTTATTTATTTATTTTCATCAGCACTACTTACGTAATTAAAGCTTTCATTTATTTGTGTTCTAAGTCTTTTTTTTAAGGCTACCTTCTGCTTCACTAATCCGGGTTATCGCTTAATACGGATGACCTCCCCCCATTAATCTGTATTAACGAAGGTTTACTGCATTACAGCACGTGGCCTGGCATTGTGACACGTAACGTTTACTCTAAAATAAATACAACATGGTACGTGAATGCGCATGCGGCACGGCCTTCAACTTGCAAGACGGAAGTAATAAGGGCTACATGACTAGCACGACTAGCGCTCTACGCAGGTACAGTTACGAAACATTTGCTGAGTAATGCTTTCGAACCAATTTACTGAGAAATTCAATGCGACAGATGCACTTAATATGTCAACCAGAAATACAGAACCTGAAACGGCCGTGAAAACGAGAACTACACAACAAAGCAGTGACCACAGAGCTTACACAGTGGACAGCAGCAACCCGGACACCTCTACCGGAACCAAGTTCCTTGTGCGTTCAACGGAACGTCTGTGCAACGGGAAGTCAGACTTGAACAAGGTAAGGACACCTAGAGGTACAGCTTAGCAACCCGGCTTGTGCGTTCAACGGAACCTCTGTGCAACGGGAAGTCAGACTTGAAAAAGGTAAGCACACCTACAGGTACAGCTTAGCAACCGGGCTTGTGCGTTCAAAAGAACGTCTGTGCAACAGGAAGTCAGACTTGAACAAGGTAAGGACACCTACAGGTACAGCTTAGCAACATGGCTTGTGTGTTCAACAGAACATCTGTGCAACGGGAAGTCATACTTGAACAAGGTAAGCACACCTACAGGTACAGCTTAGCAACCGGGCTTGTGCGTTCAACGGAACCTCTGTGCAACGACAAGTCAAACTTGAACAAGGTAAGCACACCTGCAGGTACAGCTTAGCAACCGGGCTTGTGCGTTCAACGGAACCTGTGTGCAACGGGAAGTCAGACTTGAACAAGGTAAGGACACCTACAGGTACAGCTTAGCAACCGGGCTTTTGCGTTCAACGGAACCTCTGTGCAACGGGAAGTCAGACTTGAACAAGGTACGCACACCTGCGGGTACAGCTTAGGAACCGGGCTTGTGCGTTCAACGAAACCTCTGTGCAACGGGAAGTCAGACTTGAAAAAGGTAAGCACACCTACAGGTACAGCTTAGCAACCGGGCTTGTGCGTTCAACAGAACGTCTGTGCAACAGGAAGTCAGACTTGAACAAGGTAAGCACACCTGCAGGTACAGCTTAGCAACCGGGCTTGTGCGTTCAACGGAA